TCTGAGAAAATACAAATTCCGTACAACTGAGAATGTTTGAATAAATTCGTTTGCATGAAATGCATGTCTCTGAGAATTCTATCGTGTTGTGCTTCTAAGAATTCTATCGTGTTGTGTCAGACTAATTAGCGTAGTATATTTAATAGTCGATATTATCCGCGTGCAATGCTCTTACTTGTCTAACTTTACTTTCTATTGATTCTTTCTTTCATTTCAGTTACAAAGAACGTATGCGTAAAATGTTTTGCGATGACGATTTGGAAATCGATCTGCAAGCCAACTCTACCAACTCTGTCGCTGACGTGTCAGTTCTAAATATGAGTCACTAAGATTGCGAGCATGGATTTATTTATATAAATTTTGTTAGAACTTGTTATGGTCGTTGATTGTTAAGATTTCAAAAGTTTGGTAACTGCCCACTTAAGTGTTTTTTTTTCTTTTTTACAGTTATAATAGCTTAAGATATAAGAAAGTAAAGTAATAAACTCTAAATGTATAATTTGTTTAAAGATATTGTGTCGTCGCGCATGCGATTATGTTTAATGAGAAGAAGATCAAACTTGATAAAGAGTGAAAAAGACATGGTTCCTGCCAAGCATTTTTAGATTAATATGCGCCCTGCAAGCTGGTCACAGTTTTCCACTATGCATAATGGTTTTGTGTGGAGTATTCTTATGTTTACTAAACTAGAGATTTTGCTCAGATACTGTTAACAAACTAAAATAATTTAGCTGAGTATTCGCTTTTGAACGAATGCTAGAAGTATTTCATGAGCACATCCATGCCTCACTCTACTCATAGAGTATACTCTTCCGTATTAATTAATACCTCAGATACCATAAGTTGAAGAAGCGGAACAGTCAATTTTTTGTGCTTGTCAAATAGTCAAGCATAGATCAAGCCTAAAGGGAAGACGAAGTGATCAACATTTAAGTTCAGTTGTGGAGGGATGCGGATGTTAAAAAACTCATTGTGTAAATACTGCTTGAAAAGATGGCTAGAAATGCTAGAAATTGGCGATTTCGCGATTTAAATTTAATTCCTAAAGTATGCAAATTTCAGTATCAAACTGATTTGGAATATATTGTTAAACTTATTCCCTGGAAATGATCTAAGCAATTTTCTCTGTTTTCCAACTGATATATTGAGATATTTTGAGGAAATTTGGTACAGTGACATGTACCAAAGGACGAACGCTATTGAAAATGATTCGAGTCGATCCACTCTTGCGACCACTCCCTATACAACGTGATATTATGAAAAGTCGTCAAACAATAGCAATTTTCAAAATTTCTCGACAAAAGTGGCTAAGTGGTAGTATTTATGCATTCTAATTTGGCGTGAGAACTTTGCACCAGCTGGGGAAATTGTTGGAACCCTTTCTCATATAACCCTTCCTACGGAAAGTAAACCTTTATACGGTAAAAAGATCGAATTTCCAAAATTTTCTGGTGAAACTTGGCCCATAATAGTAAATTGACGGAGAAGTCTTTCTTAGCGACTATGGATCACGTAGGTACATTCTCTGAATACCACCGCATATAAAGATTCTTATGAAACGTAAACCCTTATTAGCCAAAAAAGCCTAATGGTAAATTTTTTTTGTGATGAAAATTTGTTTATGTAATTAAATAAAAAAAAATTAAGTCGACCTAATTAGAACCACATGGGTTTATTTCTTGGCCCTACTTAATATCAGACATTCCATGATGTATTAATAATTCGTAGAAACGTTTCAGTAAAAAAATTAACGATAGAGAATTGGTACCACATAGTTCTATTTATTTTCTCCCTCACTTATCACGAAAGGTAAACCTTCCAATATGCGGGCTTTCATGAATACTATAACTTTGCATGCAAGTAATGTGTACCTTTTAGTGTATTCTTAACAAAATGAGCGAATTTTCCAGGCGAAGTGGTGCCGCCCGATTACAATGCGGGCAGGATATGAAGAAAGAGATAGGGATAGATTAAATTTATGAATTTGACAATACCTAAAAATGTTTAAGTGATTCCGAAGGAGGTTCCAAAGTGATAGAAAACATCTTATATTTTTGATCAATTTATTATGACTTCCGAATTCGAAAAATTGACGACATTCCTACAGCCTGGAAGACATATGTGGAAAACCTCTTGGTTCACTGAATTTTATACAGGGATCAATTGTAAGTTTGTGTAAAAGAAAGAATCGATATGACAATAATTTGTCAATGTCAATTTTCCTAATACTTCAACTGGTGGATAAATAAGAATTGCAGAGTGTTTGGGTAATTGCGGTCGTATCAGTATTTTTACATTCATCCTTGAGATGCTCTTGCAGTTTTCTAGTTTTCTCACGAAATACGCAAGCTTTAGCTACAGATAATAAATTGAAGACTTTGTCCAAAAGTGGGCATGGTTATTGATATTTAGTAATCAATTAATAAATGTAATAATTTCAATAATTATGCTTCTTGACCCCATCTTAGTATTGGTAGTAAGAATAACATTTTACGAATTATATCTATATACGATTTTGCACGACAAGGTTTATTTATTAATTGTGGGATGGTTTAATGGAAAATTCCGATGGTTAACAGATGGTTACCGGAAAGGGAAGGTTAGCAGACAATTCCAAAGGTTAACAGATCATTCCGTCGCTGACAGAACATGCCGTCATTAACAGGAAGAGAAGATTAACATAAAGTTCCGTGGTTACCGGAAAGGAAAGGTTCACAGCAAGTTCCTAAATTAACACAAAGGAAAGATTAACAGACAGTTCCGTGGTTACCAGAAAATTCGCGACATATGATTACAAATGAATAAATTTGTTCTTATTCTTCTTCTTCGCTTCATGACAAAATCGTGGTATTTTCGACACTTGGCTGTCATTTGCAAAAAAAAAGAAAACCAGCTAACGGTTTTTTCGAGAGGAGGAGTCAAAGAACTCTCATAATCAGTGCCCATTTTGCTTTTACTTATACAATTACAAATGAAAACCATGTCTTGAAGCTTGGTGTTAATAATCATCAGTAAAAAACGTAGCCACTTTTCATTTCTATTTTACACGTACCGAGTCGCATATTATTACGAAAGTTAGCTTAAAGCAAACTAAGTTTTTCAGTAAGTAAGAAGTTTTGAGGAAATAAATAAATTAAATTTTAAGGCCCGTATAAGAATTTAATTAGCATTTTGTAAAATTTACTCAAGCAATAAACCATTTACCTCTTTACTATATTAAATTTAGCATAAAATTTTATAAATGTATTTGTTATGAAATACATCTAATTTAATTAAAAAAAAAAAAAAAACCAAAACTTACGAATGCAATCGAAATGTAAAAAAAAGTGTAGGGGCACCACACTATTGAGCGCAAGAAAGCAAAAACCCGAAAATAGTTCACCTTTGTAATTGTGAATGTTTGCATGTGTTCTTAGATTTTTATTTTACACGGTACCATTATACGGATTCGTTTATGAAGCGAGGTACTTTACAATTTTTTAAGTTTTGGTATTCGACCTTTCGGATAACAACGGCCAAGGATTATAATTCCCTCTCTCTTTAAACGGATATTCGAATTGCAGTCTAGAGGAGGAACTACGGACCGTTTCTCTTTATTTCACAATCTATACTCGTTTTGGCAATACCTAACCATTACGTATTGCTGACTTTGAGGATTCGGTTTTTTTTTTTACGTCAGGTACCCAAGCGTATGTATTTATAATCAAACACTTCGATTTTAGATCCTTTAGATTGGTGCTAGAACAGAGAAATTGAATTTAAACGGATTGTGAGAAAAAAACTATATGTAAACTTTGTTTAGGCAGCGATATGTATTCCATGATTACGTGAAAACTTTCAAATTGAGGCATGGAAAGAAGAGATATGACGAACGATTCCGCTGGAAAAACCCTATGTAATCAAAGCATGAATATGACAGGACGCTTCACTCGTCACTTGGCTTGGAAATTGCATGAATCGGTAGCAAACATACCCATGTTTTTCAGAAGATTCCAGAGGGAATCTACACACCTTCAACTTGCATGAATTATGATCAAAATACAATAAAAATACCTTACAATCTCTGCCTAGAGCTCGAAATTTTCCTTTTAAAGTTCGATAAAACCTTTTATTTTCTATCCTTACACGGACTTGCATGCTTGTATGTTTAAATTTGTTTATTCTTCAAGAGTTAACAGAATTGATTAACTTTTCTATCGTTCTATTCCTTGAAATATATATATTTTTTTTAAATTTACTTATGTACATTGTTATATACCGTTTACTTTGCCAGAATCTAGAATCTAATAAATTCTTGGTTCTTGTATCATTTATTTCGGCTTTTAATTCCATATAACGACTATTACATGGGGAGTGGTCGAAAAAGTGGATCTATTCAAACCGTTTTCAACAGCGTTCGACCTTGGGTCAAATATCATTGTACCAAGTGTCATTAAAATATCTCAAAAATTGCGATGTGTACATAGATAAATATCAGACGGACAGACGGATGGATAAGCTTAGATGAATTTTGGTTTTGATTGCGAATCGATTAGTAGGTGGGTCCATCTTAAGCTCTTCTGCGTGTTACATACGTCCGCACTAACTTAACATATCTAGTAGCACAAGGGTATATGAAGGCCCTTCCAAGCCTTTTTGCTCTTTCTCTTGTTGTTTCGCATGGATTTTGCTCATATATTGCATATAAAAGGTTCTCGTCAAAGTCGGAAGAACCTTCCGTCTTTTAAGATCGTATCTCCAGAATGGAATTTTACAAACCAATTTCTAACTGCCCCATCGGTTAGTTATCAGCGCTTCACGATATACGCTGGATATTTTTTCAACTGTCGCCTTAGCTCTCTAATATGCACTTTTTGACTTTCCATTTCAGAGGTCAAAGTAAAATGCTGGAATGTAACATGCGCCCCATAAAGCAGTTGCCACAAGACTAACTGAATCGTCATCCCTATATATAGTGAAAACAAAATTTTGTCTGCTTTGGTGACTTGTAGTCGGTAAATACGAACAATAGATTGTACGAACGTGCATAGAAAGTTACTTATGATTCGACCTAACGATAGACTTACATATTAGCTTTGTGTTCTTAGTTACTTGGGGTGTGGCCTTTCATCGGCTATTTGCTGCTCATTTATTGGAGAGTAAGGCAAAGCCTTACTTACCATTGATCGTCATGATGATAAGAAAAAAAAAAAAATGCAAATCTTTTCAAATGTTTTCTCAAATGTCTTTATTAATCTTTTACAATATATTTAGTTTTACTTTTTTTTTTTCTTACATTAAAAATTTGATTTGCTTTGCATTTGTTTATTACATAAAATTTGTAAAATATTATAACATTTCGATTATATTTGCGTATCTTTTCTTTCACTTATATTGAAAATATTAATTATGACTTTTGACTAATTATTGCATTCAAATTAATCGCCGCACAATCTTTTGGGTTAATTGCATTAAGAAGTTTTTTTTTACTTTTTTTATTTTTATTTTTTTTATATATATATAAATTTAC